AGTGAATCTTTGATGGCTTTCATCCTCAAGGGTATTCTTTGCTCTGTTGCCCACACTGTACTTAAAGCAAACCTCTTCCCTGTAACTGAAGAGTTTCCCTCAGGACTTGGAGATGCCATGACTCCTTGGAAGGTGGCCAAAAACTCAGCCTCTTTTATCATCTTATGCCCCATCTTTATTCTTCTCTGTTTGATGTGAGTATGAGGGACTTAGCAGTCCAGGATATGATTCCTTATCAACATCCAAGCCATTATTCTCAGTCATCAGGTTTCCTAACTCTAAATCAGTTCAACACACTCTGAGACCTGGTTGAGCACCACAGGAAGAACTCCATGGTAGTGGAGAAGTCAGCAGTCATCATGCACCTCAAGCAGGTACGTGCCCTGCATGAACCCTGGATCCAGAGCAGGCTTCTTCCCATGGGAGCCTCAGAGTCATAGACGGAAACCCTCAGAGACAAAGGCAAGGGGAGCAGGACTTCCTTCAGGGGAGGCCTGGGAACTGGACAGCAAGGGAAAGGAGGGGTTCCACAAGGCACATGGTGTTGGCTTCTCCCACAGTGACTTCAGTGACCTCTCCTAGGTGAGTGTATTGGGTTTAAGGCAGGGTGTCCAAGTGGAAGGGAAGCAAGACAGCCACCCAGCAGAAGGTGATATGGGGGCTCTGCTAAGCTTGGCACAGCCTCTCCCTGCCAGTCTCTCAAGGCCACGAACATCAGCTCAAGAGAGTATTAAGAGCTACATGTGAGCTCCAGTAGGCTGTGGACACCAGGGCTTCTGGGAGGAGTTCGAAGAGCTCCCACTAGTTCCCAACTCAGATTCTCATCTTCTGGGGCTGGGGCAGGGGCCCAAGGGTATAAGTTCAAGAGAGGTGGGGTGGACATTTCTAGGGTCACAGCTGAAGCCTATGTCCCCCTCAATGCTGCAGCAGGTCAGCTCCTATCCCTCTAGAAGAGACAGCAGCTGGAGAACAGGCTCAAGAGTCACTACAAGAATATTCTTTCTTAGAACTATAGGCATGCTCAAGTGTTAGAATGCCTGCTAGCTAGCTTTATGCCATGTGTTCAACCCCCAGAACTGCCAATAAACAAATAAATAATACATACATGCATACATACATAAATCACCCTTCCCTGTAAGGCCCAGGGCTCTATTTTTTTTCTTGTAGTACTGCGGTTTGAATGCAGAGCCTACACCATGAGCCACTCCGTCAGCCCTTCATTGTGAAGGTTTTTTTGAGATAGGGTCTCACGAACCATTTGCCCAGGCTGGCTTCGAACTGAGATCTTCCTGATCTCTGCCTCCTTAGTAGCTAGAATTCCAGGTATGAGCCACCAGCCCTTGGCTTCCCCAGGGCTCCTTCATGTGCATATGTGGGAGTCCTTTCCTGTGAGGGCCTGTTTCACACCGGACATCTTGAAACCCATCTGGCCACGTGCCAGTCACCCCAGTCCCTTTAGCTTGGACTCCTGCTAGCAGGTCAGGAACAGAGGACTGAAGGCTACTGGTTGGGTAATGGCAATGCCCAAGGGCAGCTGGACCGAGTGCTGGTCCTAAGGCCATTCCTACCCTCAAGGTGAGGAGCAGTGTTTGAGCCATCTGGACTACTTTGCATGACATTTGCATAGATTTAGGTTTGTCTCAGCAGGTAGTTGATACCCACCCCTTTCAGAGTGACCAAAAGTGGCTGCCTTCTTGACCACAGTCCACCAGAACACACATGTCATTATCATGACCACCAGGAGGGTGGGGTGAGGCTGGATAGGAGTCCTTTGAGTCATCCTGTGTGGTGGCTGATCCAGCCTTGCCTCTTCAGCTGGTCAAGGGAACAACCCTCCTGACTAGAACAGGAGCCTGTGGGATGCTGGTGTAGAGGGCACCAAGAGCCTCGTGACTGCATGTGCTTGTGTGTGTCTCTGCAGGACTCAGAGGCAAGGGCACTGGTGGTCTGCTGGGCAGGCTGATAAAAAGCACTATCCCCCAGGATAAGTGTTTCTGGTAGAGCTGAGGGTGCGGTTGCATGCATGTGTGCAACATGGCTAAGCACCAGGGTTATTGTGTATGTGTGCATCAGATGTGGCAGCTACACTCACATCTGCCTGTCCCTACATCTCTCTCTCTCTTAGGCATTGATGCGTATCTATTTCTGTCCCAGTTCCTCCTCCTTACCCCTTCCACAAAGCCCACCAGTATCTAACAACCTCTGAGAGAGTCCTGCAGGACCCTAGGAATTTCTCATGGTGTCTCTTCCTAAATAGAACTGTGTCCCCAATCTTGCCCTTCCTTCCCTGACCACAGAAGGCACCTGGGGGGTCTCTGCCATCCCCCCCACCAAGTCTCTCCTTCCCTCCCTACCCCTCCTGCTTGGCCCTGGCCTATCCCTCCACCTGGTCACTTCTCTCAGCTCATTTCTGTGTCCCTCCCATGGGGATCCCAGTACCACGCTCTGACCCTGTGAGTAGCTCCACTTGGGAGCTGACCCGACAGGCTGGGGCTCGGGCTCACCACTGCTTCCTTTCCTGCCCAGGAGGAGCGCCGCTCTTGGTGAAGCACTCCGATACTTCAGCTGACCTGACCACTGAGTCCCCGCCGATCCCTTGTGGTCTTCCGCTTCCTGGATAAGGTGAGCAGTGCCCAGAGCCGCGCGAGCTTGACGCTGGGCCCATGGTGGTGAATTGCAGGGAAGGCCCAGGATGGACCGCAGGAACTCGCCAACAGTACACCTGGTTCTTCGCCGCGGTGGCATGGGACGCACTGGCGCCTTCACGGTGATTGATATCCTAGTCGATGCCATCTGCAGGCAAGATGAGGCCCTCCCCGAGGCCCCGCCCTCCCTAACCGTCTCCCTTCGGCCCACTCCACAGACCCTTCCCACTGGCTCTGCCCTCTGGTCCCGCCTAATGGCCCCGCCTGTTGGTCCAGTCCTTCCAGTCCCATCTTCCGCACTGGCCACGCCCTTCAGGCCACATCCCTGTCCGCGCCCTCGAGCCAGGCCCCTGTCGGTCGGCACTGCCCTCGCCCACCGGCCCCGCCAGTCTCCCTGAGTTCACAGGTCCACCAGAGCTGGAGACTGCGACATCGACGTCCCACAAATGGTCGCTGACGTGGGTGCAGCACTCTGGGATGGTGCAGGCCGAGGCCCAGTACAACCTAGGGTATCTAGCGCGGCAGTAGCACAGCCAAGGCGCTGCGCCTGCACGGGCAGGTGAGGGCGAGGCCCGAGCCGGACGGAGCGTACGTGGGCGTCACCATCACCATGGTGACCGGCGGCCCCGCCCCCAGCGCAAGCCCCTGGAGAAATGCGACTGTCTGAACCCGGGTGCCCAGGGCCGCCACAACCCCGACCCGTGCCGTCCTGCACACTGGCGGCGTGGGGTGGAGGCGTCGGAGGCTAGAGGAGTCCGCGCGGAGTGTAAGGGTGGAACCGTGCGGAAGCCGGCTGACCCGCTGCTCCACCTCACGACCCAGTACCAGAACCTGCTGAGCCTTGAGTGTTAAGGGGCTCCAGGTGCGTCCCGGTGCACCAGAGGGGCGGGATAGGGGAAGTGGTCTCCTGCCCGATACTGCCAGCATCTACTTCCTCAAAGAGCTGCTTCAGGACATTAGAGCACTGCTTTAAGTCACTTAGAGCGCTGTAGGAGGGGTCCTGGAGTTCGCTCCTCAGACCTGCTAACCAGACCTGGGGCCCAGCCATGGGAGGAGCAGTCGAGAAATCTTAGTGCCCTTGCTGGGTTTCTAGCACTCATCTGGAAGAGGAGTGGAAAAGGGCTACAGGGCTGTGACCAGTGACCGTGTGTGAACCTGTGTGTACCACAATTCAGTCACTTTTTGTTGGCCTATGTGTGATGTGACAGGGACAGACTGTGCCTGTCCTAACTGTAGCTACCAGTTTTCAAGCCCAGCTTTCCTGGATCCTCTTCAGCTCTGCCCACATCAGGGTGGTCTGGGACATGGCCCTGGTGGTGACTCAGCCCCTAGTGGATAAGGCTTGTGGAATGAGGGCACGTGTGAGATGCTCATGTGACCATATGTAGCCTCATATCCCTGGCCCTGCCAGTAATAAGGGTGTGGCTCCATGTGTACATGACTACATGTGACACATTGTGCTGTCACTGGCCAGTGGCCCGTGAACCACCCTCCCCCCTCACAGGTGTCTGTGACTTTGTAGCCCCATCAGTAAAGTGCCTTTAGTAAAGTTATGTTCTCAGTTCTGTGTCTTTTCTGGGGTCTGGGCCAGGGGTGTGTGTGAGTCTCCACAGCTGGACCCAGCTTGTCCAGGGTCTCCTGGAGCCCCCTTCCCACCCCAGCCAGAGGCTGACTAGAATAGTAAGTACCTGGGCCTTGGGATCTGGTGAGGAGGCTGAGACCTGCACAAACTGGATGGCCTGGGCTCTTCTGGCCACGTCTGCCTGGAGATGCAAGATCCTGGGGCTGATGGCAGACCAGGGTGGGGATGGAGATAGGCAGGATTCTGTCTGGCCTGTGTGGTGCTGCCCTTTGCGACTCCATCAGTCAGGGAGGATGAAGGGGCTATGGTCTGTGGGTCTTCAGACACCCTCTGGTGGTCACCACCTCTGCGCTTGGGGAGCTTTTTTAGGCTTGCTTCAGGTGGTATGTCCTATGGCTCTAAAAAGGGTTCCCAATAGGGCCACAGGGCTTGTGTACCTCCAAGCGCCACAAGGGATGGGAAAGGAAGGGACCTTTAGAGACCCTGGGCTCTGAACCAGATGAGGCTCCACCCTGGTCCTGCCTGCCCTACCCCTGTGCTCTGGAATTCTCCCATCTCCTTTGGGGAGCTTCATGGTGCTGGGTGGCAACCAAGCCCAGAAGTGCCCCACCCATTTGAAGTCAGAAGGGGGACAAAGGTTAGTCCCCCAAACCTTGGTCCCACCATGATCCAGTTGTGTAAACTGGATGGGATTGGCAGGGCGTGACTTTCTGGTGGGAGAGACTTGAGTGGTGGTGGGGCCACAGGGTGAATACATTTTACCAAAGGCAGATATAAAATAATTTATTTTAAAATGTATCATTTGCCAGGGTGGGAGGAATGGCTGGGAAGTTCCTGCAGTGGCTTGGCCACAGGGACTGCTCTGCCTCTGTACTCTGATTCCTGGTCAGAGTGCAAGCCTAGAGCCTCTACCCAGCAGAAGGGGACAGCTCTGCCCGGAAAAGGGGCCTGGGGAAGACCCTGGTGAAATGTCACATGGAAGGAGGGCTGGTGAGCCCCTCCATTCTTGGCAATTCTGTGTCTTCAGAGGAGCAGAGGCCCAGCGAGGACTCCTGGACGCCTTTCCCCATCTATGAGACAGGGGCCAGAGGTAGTCTCTGGGGCTGTGGGAGCCTGTGGGTTCTTGGAGTCTTTGGGGACTCTTTTGTCCATCTCATTGGGTCCCAGCCTCAGTGAGTAAGGGGCCCAAGTAGGTTCTCACTGGGGCTCTGGGGGACATCCAGAGCTGCTGTGTCCTTGACCCCAGTGGATCAGGGACCTACCCTGGTTCTCAGGTAGGGGGGATGACCTGGCCCAGCCCAGGCTGGTGACCCCTAATCGCTGGCCAGGGACCTGAGGGAGAAGACATCAGCAGTGGCGGTGGCTGTGGGGGGCCGGGGGAGGCAGTGCAGATTTCCAGTCCTGAGTGCACACTGCACAGGCCACAGCACCACGCAGAACAGCACCAACAGCAGTGCTGAGACCAGAGCCACACGCCGCCAGTCCCCACAGCGTGCCCAGCAGCGGGCCAGGCAGCCCCGGCGGGGGGCAGGTTCTGGAGCAGGTGCAGGTGGGGTGGGCTCAGCAGGCTTACTCAGGCCCACATCAATACATACGAAACCAGGCGCCTCGCGGCCAGGTGTGGCTGGCTGTGGGTGGCAGCACAGCTTGGTGCCCTCAAGCCACACAGGCTCCTCCCACCGCAGGTGCTCTGGCATCTTGGCCTGCAGCTGGCGGCTGGTGCGTAGTGCAGGAGCCCCGGCGGCTGGCACAGCTGTGGGTTGCCGGCAGAATGGACAGGGCATGACCCCGCTGCCCGGGTGGCCTGTTGGCTGGGCAGCCACCAGCCGGGCCAGACACTCCAGGCAGAAGACATGGGTGCAGGAGAGCTCCTTGGGTGTCTTGAAAATGTTGTCATAGCCTGAGAAGCATATGGAACACTCCAACGGGGAGGCCACTTTCTCTGAGCCTGGTGTACCAGGGGACCTAGGACTGCTAGCAAGACCTGGGGACCTGGGACTGCCAGCAGAGCTGGGAGACCTAGAGCTGCCGACAGGGGCAGGGGACCTGGGCACAGTGCCTGTGGAGCTGCTCCGGCGGGGGGGTGGCATAGCTGTGTGCCACATCTCCTGTCCTGATGACATGGCTCTGAGCTGCAAGATAGAGACCACTGTGAGGGACCCCAGAGAGGAATTCAGCCTCTCCTTTTCTTTTACCCAGCATCAGCTCCGAAGATCCCATGGATGGACACTGTCCAACTGTGGACACTGTGCCCAAATTGCAACCTGCCCTCCTCCACTCATCACAGGGGCGAGCATCTCATGGTACCCCAGGCCTGGGTGACTCAGAGGGGTTCCAGAAATGGAGGCTGTGTGTTGACAGCTGCATTGACCCCCATCATGCTGATATTCACAGTGGCCCACCATAGTGGGCCATAGTATTTATGTGTAGACTCTGCAGGGCTGGGCCTATGTCATGCATGTGGAGCAGGCAGTTCTAAGGTGGCACAGTTCAGCATCACTAGACTCAGAGCCAGGGGGAGCCAAGACCCTTGAGGGCTTAAGGGCTGCCTGTGGTGGGTCAGGTAAGGTGGGTTTGAACTCAGATCCCAGTGTTCTGTTTAGTCAGCACACACCTGAGTTGCAGGCAGCTGTGTGAGGATAGGGTTCAGGTCTCCGGGTCAGAGAGCAGCTGAGCTCATCCTGGGGCCTGAAGGAGGATTTTTCCAGGCTGCAGCCTGGAACCTGCTGGGCCAGCTTGTTTGACTGGAAACAGGGTCTGATGCCAGTGGCCAAGGACTGGAAATGCCCCCAACCCATGGCCAGAGGAATAGGGTGTGGCAACCTCAGCCATCTTCTGTTCCCCTTCCCCAAATCACAGGTAACCCCAGGGTCACAATAACTGCCTGTGGAGTAGGCAGTGGGATGCTAGAGGATCCAGGTCTCCTTCTTCCACAGCCCACCCCACTTCCTTGAAAGAGGCCACAGAGATGCTGACCAGAGGCCTGCCTGGTCCTGCCTGCTGCCCCTCCCATGAGCCAGGTCTCCACCCCAGAGAGCTACAGGAGTCCTGCCAGGAATAAGGTAGGTAAAGGGATGACTTGTATTTTATCACAAAAGCCCTGGCCATGCAACACCATAGAAGCCAGGGAGCAGAGATGACCCCTTACCTTGCCTGACTAGACCCTAACTTGCTGGTTAGTCCCAGGTGGGTGGGTGGAATGGCTCAGGTGTTGCTGAGTCGTCACCGGGACCATGTGAGTCACCTGACATCACACTGTGATGTCATGATGGCCGCAGGCTCCTGGCAGGTGATGTCACCACTTCCTGGGGACAACAGTGGCCTGGGCAGAATCTAGGGGGTCTTGGAACTATCCTCCCACTGCCTGGGCTCCCCCACAGGCCCAGTTTCTCGGCACCAGGCCTTACCCTCCTGGGAGAGACCCCACCCCAAGGCTGCAAAGGTGGAGGGTGAGGACAGGCTGAGTTGGCCTTACCTGGCAGTTGGGGGTCAGTGGATCCTGGGCATGATCCTCTCTGTCAGCCACAGCGGGACTCTGAGCCTCTGGGCTCCCCGGCTCCAGCAGTGTTCACTCTCTCTTCTCTGGGTCCAAGCTGGCCTCTGTTCCACCTGGCAAGTGTTCCTCTATGGGCCAGCGGCCAGCAGCTGTCCCGTGGCACCGGTCTGGCCAGTGCACCCTCTGCTGTCAGTGTATGCAGCAGGGTGCGTGTGCTTGTCCAGGCGTGGAGCTCGCTGTCTGAGGCAGGTGAGAATTCTCAGGGCGTGAGCTCCCAAGCAGATGTATTTATACCCTCCAGGTCATGGAGGCCAGGAGTGCCACCCTGGGCCTCAGGGATTGGCTGGCCTCCTGTCCTGTCAGGTGCAGGAGGCACAGGTCAGGCACAGGAGAGAGAGGAACCAAAGTGAAAGCTAGAGCCTGGGTGGGTCTGGGGTCAGCACAGACCTCTGTGGCCTGGGGATGGATGCTCAGATGAAGCCCCTCCTCCTTTGGGAAGCAGGTCTGCCCACCTTGTCCCAGGTCCCTGCCGCCTGGTTCCTGTGGGACCTCCTAGCAAGGACCCTCCACTAATCTCACATATACTCTCAAGAGTTATAGTCCAGCTTCTCATGGCTTCTCTCCCCCATGTCCACCTGTACCCACTGGTGCCCTCCCCTGCAACCCCCATCCCTGCCCCTTCCTCTCCTGCCTCTCCCACATACGTGCCTGACTCTCACACACAGCTTTGTCTGCTGTTGCCTCAACACCCTGTCCCTGGCTTAGAGCCCTTGGAGGGAACTCCCTGCCCTTGGGTTCGGGAAATGGGGTGAGAGGTCAGGGCTGGGCAGCAGCCTTAAGGGTGGGGTCACAGTGAGGATGTTAGAGACTCAGGCTGGCCACAACGGCTTGTGGTGAGTGCTTGCTGGAGCACCCTCCATTACACACTGTGGTGTAGGGCTTCAGGAAGCTCCCAACCCAGTTAAGGGCCTAGAAAGTTTCTGAAGATGGAGACCAACTTTGACCAGGTGACACAGGGCCTTGACAGACTACAGAGCAATGAGGACTGAATCTGGGGCTAAGGTGGACAAAGGAGTGGATAGTGACACAAGTGGCTCCCTGGCCTGCCCTGGGGCCCAGTGTATGCCAAAATGTTCCTGCTGACCAGCCTTAGCTCCTTCCAATGGACTTTTGTGCTCCCCACCCCCTTCTGTCAGGCCAGGCTCTCACTCCCTCCAAGGCTTCTCTGCCTACTGGCCAAGCACAGTGGACACTGGGGTCCTGATACCTAAGCCCATTCATGGGACTGTGGGGAGGGGATGCTGCTGGAAGGGCCTTATCCTGAGGAAAGGGATGGCCTCAGGGCACTCACCACCTGCACGGTCCCACTGACCACCTAAGTGGCCAGACCCACCAGAAGCCACACAGGACATCCTGGTGCCCAAGACCAAGACTCCCAAGGGAGCTGAGATGTGGGTGACAAAAGAGGGCTGAGGGTGATGCCCTAAAATGGGGGACCCGAGCTCAGGAAGGGACTCCTCCCTGCCTGTTCCAAGAGGAATGAGGATTCATCCAGAGGGGAATTCATCCAGGGGGTGGAGCCTAGAGAGGGGATAAAGGGTAGGGGCCTGGAAGGGGCAGGGCCTAGGGAAGTATGGAGACTAGAGAAGAGGTGGGACCCAGGAAAGTATGGAGGTGGGGTGGAAGGCGAGGCTCAGAGAGGGAATGGGGGTTCTGTGAGGGAGACGTCTGAGGGCCCAGCACAGCAAATGCTATGTAAGGAGGGTGATGACTCGGAGTCACATGCCACCTCAGGAAGTGCCTTGTGTCCAGGCTCCTCTGGAAACATCCTCCAGAAGGCTCCTGGGAATATCCAAGCTCTGAGGTCACTGAGCAACCGGTGGACAGCCAGTGCCCAGAGGCAAAAGTGTGCTGAGGCTTTAGGAATGTGCCAGGCCTCCCTGCAGGAGGATGGTGGGGCTGCCTTCTCCCAGCACAGACCCTGGGGAAAGCTGACCCCCTGCTGACAGAGGGGCTAAGACCTGGGGAGGCTCAGGACAGCAGTAGGAGGGACTTGGGCAGCAAGGGAGACCCACCTGGTCCCTCATCCTGACCAGCAGGCAAGCTGAGAGTAGCCCAAATGAATGTGTTGGCATATGTACCAACATGCTAACACATGTGAGTGCTAACATGTACACAAAGGGACTCAGCCTCCTTCTGTTTCCTCAGCCTTAACTCCACAGCCCCAGGGGACTCCCTGAACTAGGCCCTTATCCCTTCCCTGTCCCGAGGTGGGCTGGACACAGAACCTTAGCCAGGTGAGTGCAGGGGGGTGTGTCCTTTCACCTGCCACTGTCCCTACTGCTAGGGCTACAGATGGACCTGGCCACAAGTCCCTGACAATGCCCGTTGAGGGACAGGGTATGGTCAGTGCAGGGGGCCCTCCAGGGCCAGGTCTCTTCTGCTTTCCCCAGACTTGGGCCTGGCTTCCCAACCCTGTCAACCTGGTGCTGGTTATTCTGCTGACTATTCTGCTGTCCCTCAGATCACCGACATGGGAGGTTGCACACCCACATCTGGCTCTGCTGGCCCCAGGGCTGGAGTTCTTTCCTGCAGGCACAGGTATTTATGCAGCTGGCTGCCTGGGCAGAAACTCCACTTTCCCCATAGGCGGCTGCAGGGAACCAGAATCTGGGCTTTGGAGTGGGAGATGTCCTTGGGTCTCACCTTAGCCTACTTTCTGGGGCCAGCTCCAGGCTGGCATTCCACCCTCTGGGCGGGAAGCCTAGCCAGTACCGTCACTCTGAACCAAACAGTGAGAATGAGGTCCCCAAAGGCCCACCTGCTGGCCTCTTTGTCAGTACCTACCACCTGCTAGGCCTGTCTGTGCCAGCTCTTCTGGAACCTGGAGCCAAGGCAGCCCCAGGCTCCTGTCCTGTTACTCCTGGCTCTGATGTCATTTCTAGGCTCACCTCCTAATGATGCTGTGGACCCTTCCTTGACTGTCCCTGGTTGGCTGTGGGCACCTCAGTGCTGCTAACCACTGAGTGAGGTGAGGAAATGAGGGGTGGGACTGGGCCACGGTGAGGGTCGTGGAAGTGGCTGGAGTGATCCCTGCCACAGAGTGAAGGAGAGGGACAGGCTCCAGAAGAGCATGAGCAGGAAAAGCCTGGGTGGAGACCATTCAGGATGAGAGGAGGGGCCCTATCTGAATCCCAGGGAGCTTAACTGGCAGTCCCCCATGCCACTTTCTCTGGCTGCTGCCAATGTCTTTTTCAGAAATAATACTTGAGGCCTCACTGGCCTCAAGGTCCCTCAGTTGTGCCCAGAGTATTCTGAACCTGCAGGTAGTTCAAGACAGTGTGGCTCTGGAGAACATACAGCTGCAGAGTAGAGGGGTACTGGGTCAGACTCCCTCCTGCAGCCCATGCTTCTCCTCACATCCTGTCTCCAGGGCAGGGGCCTTGCTTCCCAGCACTTCTTTGGGGTCTAGGCCCAGGGTAGAGGGATGCTCCCTCCCCAAGTGCCTCAGAGGCAAGAACCTCAGGCTGGGTGGTAACAGATGTCTGAAGACACAGCCCTCCAGGCCACAGTAATATAGAGACATGGAGGGCAATTAGGAAGCATGGACAGGGCTCCTAGCATCCCACCTGCCAGGCACTTTGCCCTTCCCTGGAATCTGAGCAGAACCTTTGTGGGCAGGTTTCACTCCAGCTCAGCCCTCCTTGGCCAGTCTCATGCTGGTCTGCAAACATTCCCACACCCACCAGCCCTCCAAAGAACAACCCATCTATGGCTTGGGGTGGGACGTTATGCTGGGCTCAAGTGGCCAGGACACAGGACCCTCCTCTTCCCAAGGATGACTCTGACCTACAAAGTGCCAGTTTGTAGCCTCCTGGGGTCTCTTGAGGTGAGTGGCCAAGCAACACCCTGCAAGATATTCTGGGTCCTACCTGCAGGCCCTAGCCAGGCTGCAGAAAAGCCTCAAAGAGGTGCCCACATCCTTCTATCTCAGGCCGTAAGGGGCTTGGATTGTCCCTAGAACAATGCAGTTTCAAGTAAGCCCTCCCCCGACTAAGGTAACATCCTGAAAAGAGTTGAGGCTGCATTTGATGAATGGGTCCTTAGCAGAGTATGCATTCAGGGTGGGCTGTGCTATCTGCGTTTGGTGCCCCAGCCAGGTGCCAGGCAGTGGGGATCCTGGACTCTGCTGAGGGGCTTTTCTCTACCTCTCATTGCTCTGTGCCCTGCACATGGGGGTAGGGTAGGCCACACACACTGGAGAACAGATGACCCTAAGAACGGTGAAAAGGCTGGAAGAGAGAAGCTCTAGAGTTAACTTGGTCCAACATTAAACTGGCCCTGCACCCTCACTGCCACAGAAGCTGCTAGCTCAAGTCTGGTAGTGAGCTCTTATCAGTGTTGACAACATGCTGGACACCTGGAGGCCAGAACCACTAGCTACTAGGACAAGCATACCATCACAAGCCCAAGTAAAGCTAATGACCCAAAGGGATCAGATGTGGTGGATCCATGGGTGGACTCTTCACACTGGGTGCCTAGCCTGGCATCTTCTAACTGGAGTCTGTCGGCTATGGTCTGTTGCTGGAGCCCACTAGGGCTCAAGGCCTGGGGTAAGAAGACAGCAGGGCTTCAGGGCCTTTTCTGCATTAAGCAAAACTTGATTCTTAGCCCCTGGAAATGTGACCTTGGGAGTCTCAGCTCCTATAGGAGCAGATCGGACCTGGAGCTGCCTGTCTCAGGTGCTGCTTCCCAGGCTTTGTCTTCCCTGCTGGCTGTGTGTTGGTCTCACTCCTCTCATGAGGGGTCTGTGGGGGCACTCAGCCTACTGGTGCTGAAAGGGTCCTGTCTGCCAAGGGCTCCAGAGGGTGCAGCCCCGTTTCTCTGAGGTACAGAATAGCAGTGTCCCCCACAGGCTGTGCCAGTTTTAGTCATTTGTATCAGGTCTTTGTTTTAGCTGCCACTGCTGGGACCTTGTGTCTCTTGAGGACTCCTTGCTCCTGGTCTGTTAAAACAACAGCATGGGTGGGATAGAAGGATCTCAGTAGCTTGGGATGGGTTCTCCTCAGCATTTGTCTGTCTCCATGAGCCAATTCTGGCCTGTCCCAAGCTGCAGGAAACATCAGCCCTTTGTGTGCTGGGCTTCCTTGGGCTTCTGCTACCGCAGGGTGGAGTCTTGACAGGCCTCCAGGTTAAACGTTGCTGATGCGGGCCTCCACTCCAGAGAAGGCAGAGGAGTCCCTGGCTCTTTCTGGGGGTCTCTCTCGCCTGACGTATCGTGGCTTCCTCACTGAAATGGGGTCAGAGACAGACTGGGTCAGAGCCAGGGACAGCTCAAGTCTTGGTCAGCACTAGAGGCTCTCAGGAGTGTGAAGAGAAGCTGCAGGACATGAAACCCATACGGGTCCGTTTTCTCTGACCAAGGAGGAGCAAGATATTCTTACCAGGCTCTGGCTTGTGCAAAAAGGAAGCTTCTCCTGATAGAGGCTGTGGAAGCCAAGCTACTTTCTGTCAGACCCCCAAGTCCAGTACCCCAAAACCTGGGCATGGATGAGGGCCAGGCTATCCCCAAAGACAGACAAACAGTTCACATGTGTATTATGCATCACAGGGAGCTGGATGGTGCTCTCAAAAGATAGGATCATAACCTAAGCCCTGGAGTCTATGAATGTGACTCATTTAGAAAAAAGGTCTGTGCAGATGTGATTAAGTTAGGATTTCAGATGAGCTCATCCTGGATTAACTAGGTGGGCCCTGAATCCAATGAGGAGTGTCCTCCTAGGAGGGAGGCAAAGTCACAGACAATGCGACCAAAAGCCAAGAAACTCCTGAGGTGCTAGGAGCTAGAGGAGGCAGGAGGCCCCCTGAGCCTCAGAATATCCTTGACTTCTAGCTTCTGGCCTCCATGGTGCTGAAGGTGTACAGGAACCAGTCTACTGCAGAGAATTCAAGACAAGCACTATTTGGAACAGGGCAGATCTAGCTTGATTAAGGAACTGCTTTGTCCCCAAAGGAGAAGAACATTGTCACCTTTCCTCCATATCAGACCTCTGCACAGTGGAGAGACCATGGCCTAGGGAACAAAAGAATCCACTCTGGGGATCTGTCACTTAGCTTCTCTATGCCCATGGCTTCTTCTATACAATGGGTTACAATTGCTCAGGTTAATCTGGCAGAGCAGGCCCAGGAGCTGACCTGCTACTTGCAGCTCTCAGGCAGAGTAAGACATGTGCACGGCTAAAGGGGTGTTAGGAAGGGTCTGGCCCTGTTCTGTTTTCTTCTCCCTCAGTTCCATCACTTGAGCAAGTGGGATGTCATGAAAGCCATGTGGGTTAATGGGGCTGGGGAACTAGTGCCTGTTGAGTGCCTGCTTCTTTCTGTTCCTGCCTCGTGGAGTGGTATCTTTGGGACCCCAGGAAGGCAGCTGAAGTCCCAGAGACAGATCTGTGTGTTGGGACACGCCTGTAATCTGGTGTTTAGAAACTGACCCAGAGACAACCCCCCAAGGTGACGTGACATTGCCTTTACCTGAAGACTGTGGTGGGGGAATCATCGCAGCCTTGAAAAGAGAAAGGCAAAGTGAGAATTTGGGTGGTCTGGAACAGGAAACGCGGACCAGGTTGGTCAGCCCAGCCGGCACAGATTACTTACAGCTTCACCATGCTGTAGGACAGGGGCTAGAAGAGGAAGAAAAATAGCGGACCCTGAGCAGCAGGGGACTAGTCTCAGACTCTCAGCCACAAAGCCCCTGAAGGCACCCAGTATTGGCTGAGGTGGGCAGAGAGGGGTCCCCATACAATTAGGCAGGGCCTTCTGAGCACCCCAGGGTCAGCCACCCTTCCCAGATCTCCTCCCACCTCCCCAAAAGCCTGGATAAGCCGCATTCCTTAAGAGTTTGTCCAGGCTCAGAACTGTCAGGGGCACAGTGTAGGGAAGGGGGTCCCCTACATGCTCATCCTCAGGAAGTCTTTAGCCTCAGGTGCCAAAGGCTGTGGGCACATCCATTAGAGAAGTCTTAATGGGGTCCTGGCCTACTTGTCTTTTCCCTGTGCTTAAAAGTCCCTGGACTGTCTAAGCCCAAAGTCTACCAGGGATGCCAAAAAGGCAGAGATACTGGGTGGACAGAGGGGGTGAGAGCAGAACCTGGCCAGCAGACAGCTGGGCTTCCCATGCCCAACTAGCAGAGCCCCTGTAGAGCTGACCTTGAAGGATCATCCTAGCCCAGGAAGGACCCCCAAGTTGCAGGGGCCCAGTCTTAGACACTCTGGTACAACAGCCCTTGAAGGTACCCTACATTGGCTGAGGATAGGTAGAGTGAAGTACCTGCATCTGCTCTGTGGTCCCCCACAGAGCTCCAGGCTCTGAATGGGGACAGGCTCCCATCAGGGACCCTGCTGGCAAGTGTGGAGCCTTAGTTGCAAGGGGAAAGTACCTCTGTCTCTCCTGTAGAAGACCCTGGGGAGCTTCCTGGAACGCTTGAGGTAGAAGAACCCAGCCACAGAGAGGATGAGACCTGCACTGATGAGAAACGTCCCCAGGAAGAGAGAGGCTGCCACATGAGGACCCCCTGCAGGGAAACCAATGGTTGATAGTGGCAAGCCTGGGCCTTGGAGGACAGAGTGCCCAGAGCTTTTCACTAACCCTGGGGCCCACCATTCCTCAAATACACTCGAGTCCTCACAGGGTCAGCCACAGGTGGAGGCAAGGACTCATGCTTGGCCATGGGGCGAGGGATGTTGCTGGCCCTCTCACAGCCCTGGGCTTGCTATCAAACTCTGGCCCCAGCCCCTAAGCAGAAGGGGTTGAAGCCTCCAACCTGGCAGCAGATATTTCCCTGCACCTAACCTCTCAGACACCTGGAGCTGCCCCCTGCCAACTTCTACCTGCTTAGGACCAGGGCATGCTGATGGGCTGAGGATCAGTCAGTGACCACCAGCTGGGGTAGGCATCGTTCTCACTGAAACATGAACATCTGCCAGATATATGGGCCTTGTTCTGTCTGGCTGAAACTGTGCTATGGGAGGCCAGCCAGAGACCTGTGTATACTGGCCTAACCTTAAAGGCTGCTGCTCTGTGCAGCTGGCTTCTGCAGTCCAGCTTAGTGCTGGGTATGAGGCCAACTTGGAGCTCAAGTGCACTTTCTGGTGAAGGAAAGGATGGGTTCTGAGATGGCTGTGGAAGAGCCAAGCCCTTTCAGAACAGAACTCAGGATCTAGGATCCAGGTCCAACACTGTGCTAAAGGGTGAGGGTCTGGTATAATGCATCCTTCACAGATTAGATCTCAGAAGAAAAGGCAACCCTTGGAGCTGGATCCCACTCCCTGAACTCTGTAATCCCACTGCCTACACCCATCCTCCTCTCCCAGCTCCCTCAGTTAGACCATACCCTCAACTGGCCACACACCCCACCCTGTCCCACTCACTCCCTCAACTGGTCATCCCCCTTGCTGGGCCATACCTCCAACTCAGCGTTACCCTCAGTCCCCTTACTCTACTAGATCTTCACCTGAGGTGGGCTCAAGACAGCCCAGGAGAAATACCATCACCTGGAGAAGGGGTCTGAGTCTGCCCAAGGACAGGACAGGAAGTGTAACAGGCATTTTGCTGTGGCCTGTGTGTTTACAAACAGTTCTTGGAGGCCTACACCCTAGAAAAGCCTTGGAATGGGGCAGTACAGACTTCAGATGGCTTCCAATTCCCAGAGGGCCTACAGGAGCCCAGGTCACTAGGGGCTAGTATGGGTATGGAACATGGCTAAGGACAGCATGAATGTGTACCACTAAGGGCTTCTACTATCTACAGCCCTTCTTTTATTTTGGGTGGTACTGGGTTTGAACTGCTAGGCAGGTGTTCTATCACTTGAACCACGGCCCCAGCCCTACTGTAGCTTTTCTGAGACCAGGAAGTGACCAGCCCCGCCATGACATCCCAACACATGCCCCGACCCAAGCCAACTGACTTCAGCCTCAGTGGCTGCTGAACTCTCTTCTGGCCATTCTATGACCAGGATCCCTGCCACACACAGTCCTTGCAAAGTAATCTTGACCTGGACATGTCCTGCAGTAGCTGGAATCAGCAGTCAGTGTTGGCACTGGCACCAGCTGTAATGATGCTCCCCAGCCCCAGCACCCAAGCAGAAGCCCAACTCTTGCCTGGTAAGCTGACAGACTTACCTAAATGTGGCTGTCCAAGAGTCCCTGTGCTGTTCATGGGGAACTGTGTGTTCTGGCCGGCAACTATGGGAGCAGAACTGAGGGGAGGCCTGGGTTATGCGAAGACCCTGATGAGAACCCCCACATATAGCCTAAAGGGACATCTCAGACCAGAGATAAGAAAACAAGGTGATAGTAGGGTTGAGCAGCCTTCACCCACAGCTGTCTCTAGGGGACAGAGCACTTAAGAACAGAGAGCCCCTGGGGACTGCTCACTGACAGGCAGTGCTCCGGGGTAAAGTGGGTCCCTGCTGCTGTGGGAACAAGGTCAGTGACTCCCTCAGTTTCTTTCCAAACTTGATATGGAGACTCTGTGAGGCACAGGGGGATTTGGAGGGGCAGCTGGGTGGAGACATACAGCTTCTGCACTCGGAGCCATTGAAGGCTGCGAAGGTCTCGTTCTGGCACCGGACACAGCTGGTGCTCCCATCCGCATTCCAGTGTCTGTAGCACCCTGCACCAGAGGAAACTATTTCTCAGCCAAATCAAGTCCTGCTCAGCTCATGGTCTCTTGGAAGGTTTCTGTATTTGAGTTTGTAAGGTAACTGTCAACTCAAGAACACGAATATTCTGAGAGTTTGGGTGGAACAACAGGCTCCAATTCCGAAAAAAGAAACAAACTCAACAGGAAGCACTTTGAGCCCCTCACCTGGGTTCCTGTGGGTGGGTACCTATTGCTAAGGAGGAAGCCAAGTCCTTTACTAGACAACTCAGAAGACCATTCAGGGAGGCCTGAGATGGGAATCTAAAATTAACATGTGCTATTTGAGAGCCTGACCTCTACCTATCACCATGACCTTATCCACCATGGCCTCTCCAGGACCACAGCTTCCAGGAAAAGATGTCACTCCTAGACTCTTGCTTTGCCCCACACAAGGCAGGCATGACCTTTAATCATACCTCTGCACCCTTCTGGGGGTCTCTCGAAAGACCAACTCAAATTTCCATCCCAGGCCAACAATACCACCTGAGCCTCAACCTCACCCTGCCCAGGTACTGGGAGTGGCCCAGTTCAGCTGGCCAATAGTTTATAGGCAGCTGCCTTTTAACTGGCTAGAGCGCCCTCAAGGCTGAGGACTGTCTTACACCTTTACTTCTTTCCAACATCCCCAACATTTAACACAAAGGCTGAGACATTCATGTTGACTCTAGGTGCTGAAAGCCAGCACCGGACATTGGGCAGTTTCTGGGCCTAAACCACAGGTCCTTTATAATGAATGTTAGGACTTTTAATCTAAGCAAATGGACTGTGGTGAAATGAAGGCCTTTCTGCAGTGACAGGCAGCACACTGACACCAATGGATGGCGGCCTGAGAGGAACACTGGCCTAGAGCAGCTCCACTGACACTGGGCAAATGCACCATGCAGGAGCCAACTAACCACTCAGTTCTACTTGGGTAGAGACTGCCTGCTGCAATGTGGAATCAAAGTGAGGAATAGGCCTCCTACAGCATCCTGGCTCTCCTCCCCTTAGCATCACAAGGCACAGGTGGGCCTTGTCTACTCAAATCTGCCCAGGAAGACAAGGAGCACAGGGTTCACAGTACAAACCCTAGCACCAACACTGATTTTCCCCAGAAGCTTCCACAACCAGGCTCAAGAAGAGTTGCCACAAGACTACAGGCTGTATGCAGGGACAGGTGGTAGCCAGACAGCCAGGCAGTGGTCCTCAGTCTCTTCACACAAACCTAACCATCCCCACCTCTGCACCCATCCCCAGAGCCACTATGGACCTCAGCACCTCATGAGACCCCTGCCTTCTATGGGCAGCATGACCTCAGTAGAGCTGCATGCACCTACATGACCACATCTCAGGATAATTTGCACTACCACAGGAGATGTCAGGTTCTGGGTACTCCTGCTAACATGGAAGAACCCAGGGGAATGGTCTCTGGTCAGAGGGCTGTGGCCCAAGGCTCTCAGTGTCCTCACATTTCCTCTGCTATCACTAAAAAGTCACATCTTCCTGTCTACACCATGCCCACCTCCACATCTTAGCTAACCCCCTTTTGCACCTGACAAGTGTCCTGAACACCTGCTCCTATCTGAAATGAAGGGACAGTACTGAACCATCTCAGCTGAGTCAACAACAGCTCAGCATTACTCCAAGACCTGGCTGATGGCCTCTCTCCCCAAGGAGACCTACTACCTCAGAACAGCTGGGAAAATAGATGTTTTGGCATCTTCTTGTTTGAGTCCTCTCTCCGCTGGCTATCCCCAGACAGCTTCTTACAGCCCTCACTTCAAATTTCTGGCTTTCTCCAGATAGTCAAACCTGTATAGCCCCTGGCCCTTCCATGGAGCAAGGGCCTGCTGACATTGGGGCAGGACTGTCCTCTGTAGTGGGCTGTCCTATGCACTGACAGTGATAAGTAGCAATCCTGGCCTCTACCCCCAGATGCCAGTAGCATACAACCTCCTACCCCCACATACACCAGCTGTGATGATAAAAAAAAAACCCACGTCCAGACACTACTGGATGTCCTAGGGTCAGGACACCCATGAGAGCAGCTGGGTTTCAAGACCCTCCACCCAACCCCTAGCCTGGCCTCCTTTGCACTCTGCCTCCTCTCAATGCCCCAGCCTATGCTGCCCTAGTCCTCCAGCCCTGCAGCCACAGTTAGCCTTGACAAGGAGAAAGGGTGGGATGGGACACTAGGGGCTGGTGAGTCAGCAGCTGGTCTAGTGTCTGCTCCTGGCAATGTGGCTTACCTGGGCCACACAGGCTTGTTCCTGGGCAGGTGGCATTGATATCCACCACATCCACACAACACTCGAGCTGCTGGGCCTGGAGAGGAGACAGTGGTGAGGAGAAAGAGCAGACAGTGTGCAGCTTGTGCTGAGGGCAGCATTGGTCACAGGAGGGCCTTGTTACATCTCAGCACCTACAGCTCTATCTCTCTAAAGTCAGTGTCAGGTGACACTGTCCTACTGGTCCAGGAGCAGTGAGAACTCCTAACATCTGCTGGAATACTGGTGTGGACAGTCCCTAGGAAAACCTTGGCCCTAAACATAAAGATCAAAGCCCAGGAAGGGCTGACAGGAAATTAGGGCTATCCCCTCTCAGGGCTATCCCTACAAACACCTGGACTATAGCTCCCATACCACATGAGCCACTGCCCACTTTCCTCCTCCTGTGGGCCCCAGAACAATGGTTCTGCACTATGTAGGACATGTGGCCAGTGAGTGAGTGATGACTAAATAAGTCACCAACCTTGAGGACAAGCTTTGTCTGTGTGTCCCATATCAGCAACCAGGTATCTCAAAGGCTAAGAAGGAGGGGCCCCAGAGAGTTGATTTGAACTGGCCCTAGAGGTCTGGCATGGGCAGCCTGGGGTGTTGGAGCTAAGAACAAACACACTGACCCAAATACAGCACCTTGACATTCGAGAAAACACAGAAGCAGGTCTCTAACTTTCCCAAACCCTTTGCCCCAAGGCAGGCCAAGGCCCTCATACAGAAGTGCCTTCCCTGTGTGCAGGAAAAGAGGGCCCTTGTTTCTGAAGACACAGGGTCAGACAAGAATCTGAACTGACTGGCCTGGCTAGGTCCCTGGTTCATGACCCTCTATCCAATCTTACTTCCTCTGAAACATCAGTCTTCCCCAAACGGAACATAAACACACAGGTGTCCCATGGGACTCCATTTCCCAACAGAGGGTCCCATGTCACATAAAACTGAAATTTGCTTTCCTCTTCTTAGTAGGTGTTTCACTCATGAAATGATGACTGGGGAAAAACATCTCTCATTTCCTACACAGGACAGGCATCCCCTCCCATCTGGGGAACCTTCCCACACACATGTGCTCTGCATTTGTGGTTCTTCCCCTGCCTCTCAGGCCTTGCTGGAGTGGTCAGGGCCCTTCTTTCATGTGGTTCCAGCCTCCACCTCTTACTTTTTGGGCCACAAGTAGACCAGGGGGCATCCAACCAATGAAACTATATTAGTCACCTACTAAAAAGTTAACGTGTAAACCTACAGCAATGTCACTCCAGAAACTCCTATGGAAAGGACAGGTGTCTTCCTAGTTCATGACAAAATGTAGCTCACTGGGAAACCAGATCCAAGTATCTACCCTACACCCCCAACCAAGGACTTGCGCCCATCAAAGCATCTGCACTGATCCTGGGCTTGGTGCTGTTTCTGAAATTCCACAAGTGTCCCTCAGTTAGGTCTGCGCTTGGCCCAAGAGGGTACCTGACCAGACCGGCATTTTGAAGAGTCAAGTCACACCCTCAACACCCATGTCCACATGCAGCATCCAGGCTGATGCTGCATTCACAGTGTGTACAAAAGGTCTGCTCACTGACCACAGGGCAGGTTGAACAGCCTCAGGTGGAGCGGGTGTTCCAGAGTAACTTCAGCACATGTGTCATCAAAGCTAGGCTTCTGTTTTTTTGTTTTTGAGTTAGGGTTTTACTATGTAGCCCCAGCTGGCCTCAAACTTGCGAATCCTCCTGCCTATCCTCATAAGAGCTGGGGCTACTGTGTGTGCCACTATGCCCAACACTTCTCTATTTCTTGTGACCTAAGCTTGGAATAGTGAGGGGTGTCTAAGGAGTGAGAGGGATGCAAGGCAGTGTCCATGCCACCATGGGAGGGGTCAAGGCCATGTACTAGCCTTGACCACTGTACTATCCTTGGTGAGGATACCCTCGGTCACCACCATGCAAGATCCCCACCCCCAGCCTGCTTCAGGGGCTTAGAGCCAGAGCTGCTCACATCAGCCCTTTCAGCACTAAAGCAGCACACTACAGTGTCACTGTTGGTAGAGCACTTCCAGGGTACCCTTTTGAAGGGACCCCTACAACCACCACTGCTCTCCTAAGAAAGCAAGAACTGAGGTAGGCAGCTCTGGGCTTCAGGCAGTTCCAGATTTACTTTGCGAAAGACCTAGGTCAGTTCTCTGCAAGGTTTGGCAGAAAACTTCTACAAGGCAGAAAAGAAAACAGGTAACAGCTCCCGACCCCCAGCATGACTCCAACAGGTCTGGGGCTAGTATCTACATCAAGTCAAAGGGGAGAGACCATCTGGCAGAGGCCACTGCCTCTGTGGAGCTCCAATTTAACTCCAACTCTGCCCACGAACCACATGACAGGGAACAACTGCTCGGGATCGTTGCGAACTCCCCTACCCAGGAGGCCACCCAGACCCGTGTGAGGTGCTGCAGTGCCATGCCTGCAGCCATGCCAGGGAGCCGAAACAGCAGTGTCTGCATGAGAGGAAAGTGCCATGCCAGAAGGAAGACAAGGTGTAAGGGGTAGACTGGCCACAGTGGGAAGTGACTGTTATGAGGTGTAGGGTGTGCCATGGTGGGGAGGGTTACAGCGGAAGGGCAGGACCAGACAAGGAGTCATTGAGTGCAGAGACCTGCCTTCCATGGAGTAAGTGAGGTCCAAGCACCCTTACCTGTCCCTCCAGGATGAGAACTGCAGACATCGGCTCCTAGTGATCAGTGGTCAGTGCAGTCAGGGCTACTACCATGCAGAGTTTTCTAAGCCTGACAGCTGTATCCTGCAGCTGATGATCCAAGGCCTGAGGATCAAAGCGATGAGTGAGTCCACTGCTGGCCCCAAAGGACAACTCCAGGAGGATCAGAGCCATGGGAAAGATGACCTCGTGCTTCCTCCAAAGATGTGTGGTTGAGTCCTGGAAGCAAGGTCATTTGTGCTCGATCTCCCAGGACACAGAGGCACACCTGTCCTAGGAAGGCCCTAATCACATCTTGAGCATTGTTACTCAGAGTCAGTTTCCCCATCAACTTAGCAACAAAACATAAGAACAAAAACAGTGGTCTAGAATAATGCTAGAGCTTAAAAACATCTAGTCCAGGATAAAAAGATCCAGAGGGCAAACAGGAACACACACACTGAAAGTGGACTTCTTAATTCTAGAACACCTGACTCCTGACAGATGCATGGCTTTAAAACTAATATACCCTTTGGGTCCTGTGTCCACTATTGCACCCCATTTCTAACATGACAGAGAAAAACCTTCACCCAACAAATACTTTGAAGTAATACCATTTGTGCAGTTTTTTGTTTGTTTTGAGACAGGATTTTGCTGTGTAAACCCAGGCTGGCCTTGAACTGAAGATCCTCCTGCTTCTACCTCCTGAGAATGCAACCACCAGCCATTTCTATAGTCTTAATAAATTTCTGTTAACTCACAAGGTGGCACTTTTTTTTTTTTTTGTGGGACTAGGGTTTGGACACAGGCTTTACATTTGCAAAGCAGGTGCTTTACTGCTTGAGTCATGCCTCCAGTCCATTTTGCTCTGGTTATTTTGGAGAACAGGTCTTACAGGCTGGCCTCAAACCACAATCCTCCCAATCTCAAGCTCCCAAGTAGCTAGGATTACAGGTGTGAGCCACCAGCACCTGGTGACAGGTGGTCCCCATAATCAATCAGTCCCAAATATTCTGACCATAAAAGTTACCTCCAAGAAGACTTTGTACTTGACAAAGCAGCTGCTGCATGGACAACTTCCACAGCAGTGGTCCCTGCTCACTTTCAGGTGGGTCCCTGGAGAAAATATGGAGACAGTTCAATTAGGGTCTGGGAAAGGAAGAACTATACTCTGGACTAGGACAGTAGGAAGCTCTTCATCTTGGGATTCTTGGGGAAGAGGACTGTATGATGGGTTCACACAGCCCATGAAGATGAAGGCTCAGAAGAATAAAGGTTCTAGTCCTGGGTGAGAATCTGTCCTGTCATTCACTTTATGTTAGATTCAAGCCAGGGCCGTGGGCAAAATGACCACACTACATGTGGGAAGTGGTGCCCAGGCCTCCAGGACAACCTCCTGTGAAGCCTTGTCCAGAACCCCTACTGCCCACACTGGTACACACATTTTCTGAGTTTCAGCCATTCACACTATTAAAAATGGATGCCGTCCGGTTCGAGGCATGGCTCAAACAGTAGAGCACCTACCTAGCAAGCGCAAAGCCCTGAGTCCAAACCCCAGTATCTCAAAATCAAAAAAAATGTATGCTGTCTCTTAATTTACATCTTTGAGGGTTTTACCCCTGGTACTGGGATTTGAACTCAGGGCCTCATACTTGCTGGGCAGGCACTCTACCACTTGAGCCACTCCACTAGCCCTGTTTCTGTTGGGTATTTTCGAGATAGGGTCTCTTAAACTATTTTCCCAGGCTGGCTTCAAACTGTGATCCTTCTGATCTCTGCCTTCCGAGTAGCTAGGATTATAGGCATGAGCAACTGGTACCCAGCCAGGCTTCTCCTTTCTATGGGACACTCCAGACATGGAACACAACAGCTGAGCTGAAATTTCAATGGATATTCAGTCTAGGATCAGTAATTCAGCTTCTACAAGGTGAGACTGGCAGAGTATTTGTTGGTCTGCTGCCTCTGTCTCCCCATGGCTGCTAGTTTTGGGGGAGGGGAGATTCTGAGGCAAGTACTGTTACCACTCAACTTCTACAGTTCCATGGTGACCTAGGCATCTTCCATAGAGGAATGTCTTCCTTTCACAGTCTGGATGTTCTGGTCTAGCAGCTTCTTGATGAGACATTTTAGAGATATGGTGGCTGACCTTCCAACTGAGGGAGCATTTGGGAGGTGGCTCAAGTAAAGACATGGGGTGAAAGTTCTGCAGGGCTTTGAAGACACTGTGGATGGCATGCCCACTATCTTTTCTTCAAGTATCTTCAAGATCTGGCTCTGTGCAACCCTGGAAGCTGTAGCACTCACCATGTACTTTTCTTTCTTTTTTTTTTCTGGTGTACTGGAGTCTGCACTCAACTTCATGTTTGCTAGCAGGCACTCCCCCACTTGAACCATTCCACCAGCCTTCCCCATGTGGTTCTTTGCAGGTACAGCTCCATCTAGCCCAGCAGTCCAGGGAGTGGCAGGCAGGAGAATGTATTGTCATAAAGCACATCTCAGTTGCAGTTGACTATGCTATATTGAGTCGAGGAACTAACATGTCCCTTGGTCCTGTGCCCACCATCTCACAATCAACTGCCACCATCACCTCCTGGAAAGTTCTGGAATACTCCCAGAACACTTATTCACTGGCCCAGGGTGGAGTTCTGGGTGGCATTCTTCTAAAGGGCTTCTTTTGGGGTCCCCCTTCTGGGAACAGAAGGCTTTTAATTGTTGGACGAACATTCTGAACTCCCCCAGCAAATCTATTTTAACCACAACAGTCTTCTTTGAAGGGCAGGGTCAATATCGACACTGCTGCTTTCTTGACCAGGACTGCTCTGATCCACTACTGGAGGCAGCTGTTTCTTTGGGGAAGGGAGGATCTTCTAAGTGCCATCTACCCTCTGACTTTCCCTTTCTTTGGTTAACTCCTCCTTTGTAAGTTGTGAAATCCTCTTAGATAGCAACATACTCATGCCACATAAAGGTCATGCTTCCCCTACAAGATGATGACCAAATCTCATTTTTCATTTTGTCTATTTAACATTTGTTCAGCAGAGACATCCTACCCCAGGGAAAACTCCCTTTCTGTTCACTTGCTAGGAAAAGGCATCCCCAGGACAGGCCAAGTCACAAAAGGACTCAAATGCCACACTGTGCTGTTTATTTGTACCCTGTTCTTTTTATGGCTAAATGATGTTCCATTGTGTGGCTATACCTCATTTTCATTACCCATCAACTGCTAAGGGTCCCAGGGCTGATTCTAGGTTTTGGTGGTTGTGGATAAAGAGCTACAGACATTCCTGTGAAGTGCATGTGTGGATATATGATGTCATTTCTGGGTAAAGACCAGAGTGCAATGTCTTGTCACAGGTATATGGAAATTTAACTCTGAGAAGCTGCAGTTGTAGTACCTTTTGCCTTCCCACCAGCACAGGAGGAGAGCTCAGCTGCTTTGCAACCTGGTCAACACTTGGAATCGTATAATTGGGTATACAGCAGTATCTCATTGTTATAATCTGCATTTCCTTGACGACTAATGATTATCAGCATCTTTTCATGTGTTCATTACCATTTATGTGCCTTCTTCAGTGAAGTTCACATTTTTTGCCTGCTTTGTTTAATTGGAGTATCTTCCTCTTAATGAATTCTAGTTCTTTATATATTCTTCAATCAGATATATGCACTGCAAATATTTTCCCCTATTCTGTAGCTTGCCTTTTCATTTTCTTACTTTTCTGTTGTTTTTTGAAGACATCTTACTATGGAGCCCAGCCTGGCCTTGAATTTACAATCCTCTTGCCTCAGCCTCCTGCTAGGATTACAGGCCTGTGACACCATACTCAGTTCTTATGGGTATCATTAGAACAGCAAATGTTTTCAATTTTTATTTTGATAACATTAAATGCACCCATTCTTTTTCTGTGGTTCTTGGTTATTCTGGCCTAAGAACTCTCTACCTTGACCTCAAAGTCACTAAGATTTCCGGTTTTCTTCTAGAAATGTCATAGTTTTGGGCTGGTGGAGTGGCTCAGTGGTAGAGTGCATGCCTAGAAGTGGCATAGCTTTAACTTTTATGTTTTGAGTTACTTTTGTGCATGGCATAAAATAAAGGTCAGGGTTCAATTTTTCCACACATATATCCAGGTTTTTTGTTTGTCTGTGGGACTGGATTTGATCCCAGGCCTTCACACTTGCAAAGCAAGAGAGACATACCTCCAGTCCATTTTGCTCTGGTTGTTTTGGCGATAGTGTCTCCCAAACTATTTGCCAGGGCTGGACTCTAACTGCAATCTCAGCTTCCCAAGTAGCTAGAATTACAGGTACCCGATTACATATATCCAATTGTTTTTTGTTTTGTTTTTGTGGGGACTGGGTTTGAACTCAGGGCTTTGTGCTTGCAAAACAAGTGCTCTACAGCTTGAGTCACACCTCCAGCCCAACATATATCCAGTTGTTGCACCATTTGTTTCTACATTGAATTATGTGAGCATCTTTAAAATCAATTGGCTGTAGTGTGATGGGTCTATTTCTGGACCTTCATTTGGCTCCATTTATCTACATATCTGCCTTTGCCGAGCCCACACTAACTCCCTTGCTGGAGCTGTACCTGGTGCTCAACAGCAGGTCATAGGAGCCCCACTTTCTGTAGTAACTTTGGCAGTTCTAGGTCATGTGTGTGTACATATTTAGAATCACCTGCTAATTTCTACAGAATGGCTTGCTGGAATCCTGACTAGGAGAACTGACCCTAAGCAATGCTGAGTTCTCCACTCCACAGACATGCTGTCTCCCTGTTTCTTTATATCATCTTTAGTTTCTCATACAGGGTTCTAGGCTTTCACTGATGAGGTTGTATACATCTTTTGTTAAACTTACCATTAAATATTTTATTTTAATATTATTATAAACACAAGGAATTTCTGATTTTACTTCCCCAGAGTTTGCTGCCAATATATATTAGAACAATTAATTTTTGCACATTAACCTTGATTTCTAAGATCTTATTAATATTCATTAACAGTTCCAGCATTTTTTGAAATTTGTTTAGGATTCTCACACAAATAATTACATAATCTGCAAATAGTTTTGCTTCTCCAATCATTATGACATGAATTGTTTCTTCTCTTGCTTTACTGCAGTGGCGAGAACTTCCAGCACAACACTGGTCAAGTGGTGAGAGAGGCCTCACGCTGCCCAACTTTAGGGATCCAAGCAGAGGAGCTCAGTATCTCACTGCTAAGTGTGATACTGCCGGGGTGGTCTTTCACAGATGCCTTATCTCGGGCTGATGAAGTTTTTTCTAGTTCTGGTTTGCTGAGGTTTTGTTTTGTTTTTTTTTTTTTTTTTTAATTGTGAAAAGATTTTAAATCCTCTCAAATGTTTTTTTCCTGCTCTCCTCTGTGGTGGTTGATGGGTCAGGATTTGGGACTCTCTCAAAGGCTTTTTCTGCATCTACTGAAA